CAAGACAAACATAATCAAGTTATGCATACCTGGTATTATGTATAAAAGTATTTAATATTCTAATGTCCAAATGGATTCGAATTTTTTTAAAAAGTTACAGAAATACAAAATGATAAAGAAGTTAAAAACTCAGCAATTATCATTGAGGTCTTTAATATGTTATTCTACATTAAGGCAAATTTCTTAGTCATTTTCAAATTTTATTATTTTACATGTATGCATATTTGTGTATTTTAATGAACTACTCAAATACATTAGATTTTTTTAACATAGTGGGCTAAATGTACATACAGCATTTTAAATTGATTTTTCTCTTTGTTTATATTTAAATCCATTCCATTTGGTGCCATGTTAAATGATAATAAACTCTAAATTTGTTGAAACAAAAAAAAACAAAATAATATAATAATAATAATAATCAAGAGTTTGAGGAAACCATGTTATTTCTTTCAACTTTGTTTGGCTGAAATAGAAAAAATAAATAAACCTATACTTACCTAGCTTATACTAAGTCATGCCAAATATAAGCCACAATCAACCTAATAAAATAGATGCACATGGAACCATCCTAACAACCTTTACTTTACTTTACTTTAGTGATATGTTTTGTTCTGCCTTTTAGCAATGAGGACACCAGCAGCTTAGAATCGTAACTAATTGACCGAAACGCAAGCAGAGTCTTCCGGTCATCTTTATACATCACCTCTCTAGGAGGAACTGGGGTACACTGGAGGAAACCCACACTATCTAGTTTTCCTCAGTACATCCAAATGGAAGGACAGAATTTTCCACCCTCAACTCCTCTGAAATACCACAATCAGCTGTTTTTGCTGGAAAAGTAGGAATTTTTTTGTTTTTTTAAGTACTGGGGATTGAATCTTGAACCTTCACGTTGTGTTACATCTATACTTCAAGCTCTGTATATTTTTTGAGATTAGATCTTGCTAAATGACTGAATTGGACTTGCAATCCTCCTGCCTCGGCCTCCCAAAAAGCTGAGATTATTATAGGTGTGCCTCACCATATTCAGCATACTCTCTAGTATTTTTTTAAAGGCTGTTTATCAATATCATTTTACCCCTTCTCTCAGCGGCCCAAGCACTTGCCTGGTAAGTGTGAGGTCATGAATTCGATCCCTCATACAAAAAAAAAAGAATAAGGATAGAAAAGAAAAAGTTATCATTATTTGCAGATGACACAATATTCCACATAGAAGACCCCAAAAACTTCACCAAAAGACGTCTAGTTTTAATAAACAAATTCAGTTGCATAGCTAGAAACAGTTAACACTCAAAAATCTTAGCACTCCTGCACACAAATAACAAACTCACTGGGAGAAAAATCTTAGAAACCATACCTTCTTCCACAATTGCATCCAGAAATGAAATACTTAAGAAGCAATCAGAATATATCAGAATATGGAAAATATATGCCTTGTTCTTGGGTAGGAAGAACCAACATAGTGAAAATGGCCATACTCCCAAAATTATTATACAGATTTAATGCAATCCTGATAAATAAATAAATCCCACAGCACACTTCATAGAATTAGAGAAAACAATCCTAAAATTTATTTGGAATCAGAAGAGACCCAGAATTGGGCAAAAAACGCAAGGCAAGGGAAATCACATTTCCTGACTGGGAATTATATTACAATGCTACCATGACAAAAAAGCACAGTACTGGCAAAAGATTAGAACTGAGGATCAATCGAACAGATTAAAAGCTGCAGAAATGACTCCAAACACACTCAACCATTATCTTTGCCAAAAGCATCGGATACCTTCACTGAAAGAAAGGCAGCAAAGATTAAACCCAGACTCATATTTCACCATATGTTAAACTAAACTTGAAATGGATCAGAGACCTAAACATTAAAGCAGAAACACTGAATCTTCTGTAAGATAGAATAGGTAGAATTCTTGAAGACATGTAGGCAGACTTATGAGCCATACCTGGATAGCATAGGACATATAAAAAAGTTAGTAAGTGGTATCTCATCTTACTTAAAAAGCTTTTGCACAGCAACAGAAACCACCAATGAAGTGAAGAGACAACCCACACAGTGGGAAAAAAAAAAATTGCCAGCTATTCTAAAAAAGACTACTATGTAGAATATATAAAGAAGTCAAAAAATCGGAGTGCCCAAATTTAAGGACCTAATCTAAAACTGGTCACCTGAAATGAACACACACTTCTCAGATAAAGAAGGACAAATGGCAAATAAATATATGAAAAATGTTCAACATCACTGATCATTCAAGAGACGCAAATTAAAACAACAACGAGATCCCATCTCGCCCCAACACCCACTGTGGAAAGCAGTGTGGAAATTCCTCAAAAAACTAAAACTAAAGGTTCCACTTGACCCAGTTATTACTCTTCTTGGTATCTTCCTGAAAGAATTAAAAGTATACTACAGTTATATATGCACACCCGCAGCACAATGTATAATAGCTAAATCTTGGGAGCAGCCCAAATGCTCACTCGTGGAAGAATGGATAAAAAATATGTGAGGTTTTGTTTTGTTTTTTAATATAATGGATCCTTGGTTACTTTTCTCTCATTGTGGAGACAAAAAACTCGATGCCCAAAATAAAAAGAGGAAAGGTTTATCTAGCTCACAGTTTGTACAGGTTTTAGTCCATAATTCACTGACTCTGAAGCAGGGTGGCACATGGTAGAGGGCAATGGTTCACAGAGGCAGAAGACAGCAAAAACAAGAGCCAAAAGGAGCAAAAGGGAGGAGTATGCCTCCTTCCCTCCCTTAATTGTATGCAGGAAATAGCACTCACACTGCCAATCCCAGCACTAGATAATGGACCAATCACAAATTCTAGATTCAGCCACCTCCAAAAGGCACCCACCCCATGACATGAGGCTCTGGGGTGACATCCAGATGCGAACCATAACAATGGAGTGTTATTCTGCTACGAAGAAGCATAAAGGTGAGACATTTCTAGGTAAACAGATGGACTTTGAAATCATGCTTAAGCGAAATATGCTTGACACATGAGTAAATACTGCGTTGTTTCTCTGGTGTGAGAAACCAAAAGTGTAAATAAGGGCCAAAATGTATGACAGATATGAAATAGGAAGAAAATGTTCAAATGGTAAGGAGAACAACAGAGAGGGGAGAGGTAAAGGAAGGAAGTGAAAAGAAAGAAAAATACAATAGAAGAAAAAAATGGAAACAGAAGTTTTATAAACAAGGAGAGGAAGAGGGGCTGAAGGAGGGGAAGGAAATGTGAAATAAAAGAAGCAAGACATTTTGTGCACAGGTACAAATTCCATGTGATGAATGTTATCACTATGTACATATAAAATGTACCAAAAAATTTTTAAAGAGAAAATAAACATGTTTGGACCACAAAAATAAAACATTACGAATAAAATTAATTTTTAAAATTGTATAAACATCCCTGGAGCTACAAAAAGAAAAACAACACCACAACAAATAAATATTGGTCAAGATGCTGGGGCACACTTGCACACTGCTGGTGGAAATATAAAATGTAAATTAGTACAGCCACTATGGAATCAGCAAAGCAGCTTCTCAAAGAACCACATCTCAAGCTAGCATCTGATTCAGATGTGGCACTCCTCGGTACACACACGCAGGAATCAGTCAGCATACTCTGGGCATACCGACACACGTGTGTTCACTGTGGCACAGTTCACAGTAGCCAAGATGGGGAACCAGTGTAGATGCCCACCCAGATGAAGGATGGAGAAACTGCGATATGCAGTGGATGTGTGTGTGTATACACAGTGCAGAATTATTCAGCCATAAAGAAGAATGAAATGTCATTTGCAAGAAAGTAAATGGAGCTGGAGATTACCCTGTTAGGTGAAATAAGCCAGACTCAGGAAGACAAATATCACATGTTCTCTCCAATATCTGGAATCTAATAAAGGTGACATAAAAGAAAAAAGGAGACTAGTATTAGACAACAGGAAGAGCACAAAGGGGAGGGGGCCTTACAGAGAGTGACGGGATGATGGCTGAGATTAAAATAGATGCACTGAAACCTAGTGTCTTAAACAAATTAATAGGCACCAAGAAAAAAAATGTTTCAGGTTTAGCAGCAATCTAGATTTTGGATTTTTAGAGTAGGCGTGTTCAACTAGTTCAACTATAAAAATATTTCAAAATTTAAAAAGCATGAAAATCTAAAATACTTCTGTCCCAAACATTCCAGATAAGGAATATTTATTAATAAGCATATGGGACTTCAAGAAAGATCAACAATGGAGGTTCATGCAGGACTCCAGGAGGACTACAGGTCTGAGGCCAACGTGGGCAACTTAGCAATTTAGCAAGACCCTGTCTCAAAAAATAAAAATAAAAAGAGGAATATATCCCAGTGCAAAGGCTCTGTGTTCAATTCCCAAAACCATGTCCACTAATAATAATGCTAATAATAATGAAATAAAAAAGGAATGGAGGTAGCTCTATATGTGAAATACAAATGAGTTTCAAGATGGCAAGCTACCTTGGAAGGGCCGGGCAAAAAATCCCATACTCCCTTCCTGCAGCACCGATGGGAAGATGGGAACGTTAAAGGGCTGACCACGTGGACAACAGGCAGAACTTGTAACTTTTATTTATTTATTATGTGTGCGTGTGTAACAATGAGAATGCAATCCAGCGCCTCATGCATGCTAGGCAAGTGTTCTCCCTCTGAACCATGTCCCCAGTCCTTTAAATTTTATTTTTGAGCTTTCTTCCCTCTTTCTGCATTTTCCTCCAACACTTCCCAGCACCTGCAGCACTAGCATCCTCCAAAGGCAATGAGAAAGGGGAACTGAAGGGCTTCGTGCCCAGCCCAAATGCTAGCAACAGACCGTCAGGCTTCGTGCAGACCCCACCCTTCCCACTAGGAATAAAGAGGAGAGGCAGGCAGCAGCCACGGTGGGAAAGGCAGCACCACGCAGCACAGCAGAGACTGTGGTGACGGCCAGCCTGGCGCTCCCTGGCCGGACCTCGCTTCACTTACCTTGTCCTGCAGCCTGATGTTTTCCCACACCTTGCTGCACACCATACACTCAAACGCGTCAATGTAATTGTCCTGGCTGAGGTCTTGGACTCCCCATTTCCGTTCCGTGAGAGCTGTCAGGAGTCGCTGGTTAGAGATCTCCCCCTTTAGCTTCCACTCTATGTAGGCCTCGTACAATCTGTCATCTTGGTCCAGTCGTCTAATGAAACTTGCCAGTTCTCTGGGGTGAGCGAATTCTGATACAAGAATGGCACTTTTGTTACTTGGAAGCCAGTCTGTGATGCTGGGGGACCCATGATACACAGGGACTACCCCCAGTTTCAGCGGTCTCCAGAACTTCTCTGTGATGTAGTCATCACAAACTGCATTCTCAAAAGCAAGGATAAACTTGTACTGGGCAATGATCCTATAAAAGCCGTCAGCATCCATAGAAGTAGGGTTTTTCAGCTGCTGAGGGAGATCTTTGTTTCTTAAACACTCCCCATAGGAATCAACCTCGATGTAAGTCATTAGCTCACGAACATAGCTGTCCCTATCTGATGGTGGGTCACAGTCTGACTGCACATACACCAGTGGAGCAAGTCTTTTCCTTAGGCTGTTTTTGGATTGCAAAGGAACCAAGTATCGGAGTGACTTGAGGGCATCTACACCCTCCAGGTACTGGGTAGTCAGGGGCAAGTGGGAATGCCTGCTGAATGTGGCCGTGTAGTTGAACAAGGTGATGACTGGTTTATGAAAGAGCTTATAATTGTTTTTTGGAGACTCTTCGTGGAAAAGGGCCCAGTCATGATGGGCTTTCCGAGGCAGAGGTAAGCTATCTATGTTAAAGTCAGTACCTGGAAAAAGAAAATAAATTGTTAGTTACGTCCAAAAGAATTCTGGTCTCTAAAATTGAGTACAGAGAAGTCAGAGGATATAAGCAAAATGCATCACAGTGTCACAGTAAATTGGCTACCAGCTGATCACTGGTTTCATCCTAAACAACTGCTCCAGGAGATCACCAAGTAGATCTTCCTCATTTTATGAAAAGGAGATGGAGCAGTTTCTAGCCAGATTCTAAGAAGAACGCACTCCACTGCCTCTTACAATTGGCTTTTCATCCTGGAGATGCTGTCTAGAAGCAAGCAGGGAAAATAAAGAGAGTCAGATAGAGTTCTTTAAAACAAAAATAGCAAGAGAGGAAGCAAACAGGAAAAAAGCAACTGGGTTTTCAGATTGATTAACTAGAAGGGAAAAAAAAGCAAAATTATGCAAAAGCAGCCAGAAGAAACAGAGAGCATGGATTTTTTAATCTAAAATGATCAATTTCAACAAAGTACAGTTAATCAATCTTAGTCAAAATGGTAGACAAGAAGCTTTTAAAGACAAAAGAGCTGATAATAGCACTATGGTACAGACTGCTGCAGGATGGACATGAATTAACAAGACATCCAGAAATAAAGATGCCTAACATGATTATAATTAGAAGTGATTCTAACTTCCACAGGATTAATTGGAAAACCTCTGAAACATGATAATGTACAGACAGAAGTGACGGATGTGGGAAGCCACTGTTTCCGGGGTACGTGGGTGGAGATCCGCTCAGGAAGAACCTGTTTCTATGACTGAGAAGGAAGAACTAAGACATCATGACAATAGGTAACATGGAATTTAATATTCTTGATGCATGATTTTGTGGATAACAATCAATAAAAGGCAACAGGAAAAAAGTCCATTTCCCAGCACCCACTGAGGAGAGAAACACCAAATAAGTACTTAAAACAGAATAGAACATATTCTCTGGTAGAGCGTATAAAAATTAGTTATTAAATGCCAGTGCACAAAAATATACTCTTTGGTACCAACAGTATTGAACAATCAGTTAATCACAAAGGCCTTTAAACAAAAATCAGATAAGACTATTAAAGTATCCATACTACTGATCATAAAGCAACTGCTTTTAAAAAAATCACCTCTGTTTCCACAACAAGTTTTCTTTCCAAGTCATCAGCAGTGAATATGTAAAAATAACTAATGTGTGTTTGTTTGGCATCGCCTATATGTGACCTTGAGCATCAAAAAGAATACTCATCCACACCCTGAAATGTAACAGCATGTAGAGCCAGACGGCTGGCCGAGGAAAAGGGTCATTAAGTTAGAAAAAGAAGACTTATAAGAGCATTTGGGAAGGAGGACAGTCACTGCATTGAAGTATTTGCTGCTCAGGAGAGTCTGGATTAGTCAATGGCCAGTGATGAGAACTGAAACTCACAAAACAGAGTTAAAACATAAAGTTTCCCCTATAATACAACACAGAATCAAACACACTTAACTGGAAGAGAAAGTGCAACAGACCAATGCATAGGAATCAGAGGCAGAGATAAAAACAGCAGATTAGAGCTGAAGGAGACACATGCACCATGATACACACCTGCAATGCCAGCTGCAAGGGAGGGCACAGCAGGAGGATTGCCAAGTGTGAGGCCAGCCTGGGCAGCTTAGCAAGACCCTTCAGCAAAATAAAACTTAAAAGGGCTAGAGGGCTGGGGATTTAGCTCAGCGGCATGAACACGGCATAAGTGCCTGTCTGGCAAGCTAGGTCGTGAGTTCCATCCCCAGTACAAAAACAAAAAAAAACAAAAAAGCAAAACAAAAGCTGTCCAGAATTAATTAGCGGGACCCACACAGAGGTTTTAATAGAGTGGCCCCAACTTCAGTGGCTGTCTGCTAATTGCCAGGTGACACACAAGTGACTACGGATCTGACTAACTGTGAATGCACCGCAGCAGGGGCCCCAAATGCAGAGCAGAGAAGCATTGGGCTTACAGGTGCGAAGCCTGTCCTGGTGCTTCAGAGAATGCGGGTGGGTGAGTTTCATGTCTCGTGTATATCTATGAAGTGCAAAGAGAACTAAAAATGGCTGTGTCCACACTTTTGTGGCAACTAAGGAGTTCCTCAGGTTGTGCTGTAATAGCAGCGGGACTTGAACCTGGCAGGAGTTATAATAAGCCAGTCATTCATGATAACTGAGAAATGCATGTTAACAGGATCACTATACCTCGGCCGATCTGCTACTGAAATCTCCATGTTGGAAGGAACAGAAGGATAGGATTCCTTGTACGTGCAATTTCTAGTAGAAAAACAAAAACAGAAAATAAAGAACCTATGAAATCTGAGCAAGGGATATTTATATTCGTGTGCTTAGAAGCAGCACACCTTTGAGCTGGGAATAGTGGTGCGTGCCTGCAATACGGGCACTAAGGAGGCAGAGGCGGTAGGACTGCGGTGAGTCTGATGCCAGTGTGGGCTACACAGTGAGTTTGAGGCTAGCCTGAACTACACAGTGAGATCCTATTTCACAAAAACAAAAGAAAAGGGGAAGGGAAGAAAGCGAAAGGGAAATAGGAAGAAGAAGGAGGAGGAGGAAGAACAGGAGGAGAAGCAGGAGCAGCAGCAGCAAGATACTTCTTAAAAAATGCAAGTGTAACGTTCCTGTCCAAACCATCCAAATTTCAGTGTTTGCAATAGTGGGGATCCCTTTCTAACAGAGAAGAGAGTTAAAGGCACCCAGCTTCCCAGAAATACGTCCCATACTTACTATTCTAAAAAGTATTTCCTAGTCACGTCCCTGAGATGCACACAAAACACAACCTGTTCCCTATCCACTGCATACAAACATTTTCTATTATCAATGCATTTTGCAGTTTAGGCTCCCAAACTAAAATTGTCTGGAGATTTAAAGAGTAGTTTTACCCTATAAGCTTCTCTCCCAGGCCTAGAGCTTCAGATGGAAAACACTCAGAAAAAACTAGCAGGATATATTATAGTAACTTTTTTGATTTCCTATTAACTTGATTTGAAGTCCTGTAATACTCCCACTATCTTATTTTGACTGATTACACTCTGTTCCACTCTGTATTATCAGAGTATAGGCAACTACTTTGAAGGCAACAAGATTCACAAGATGCCCATTCTGGTTTGACTATTATCCTCTTTTGAAGTTTTGTAAGGTTTACAATGTTTAGGTTTTATTGGTCTTATTCTCTACTGTTTAGTTCAACTTTATAATTCCTAATAAGATAGACAATTCTTCTTAAGGAAGCAAGAGGCATTATGGTAACCGGTGTTGATAACCTTGTACTCTGTTTTTACATCATGTGCTATGTCTATCCTTGGTTTTGACTGACTGCTTTGTTTTATCATGTTTGATTTTATTCTCTTACAAAAAAAAAAAGCAATAAGATCTATGGGAGCAATAAAACCCAAAATGTGTAAAATTTGTTGTAATAAAGAGAGGAAAAAAAGTGCCCTAAAGGATACAACAGCAAGTGTGTTTAGGTGTGTTAAATAGATGACCATATTAATATTTTTGTTTGGATCATTGAACACAACTATTTGCAGTCTCACTGTTTGAATGTTCACTTTTATGCTTTGATCCTGTGACCTGAATAACCGTTTCAAAAATGATAGTGTGTAATCTATTAACTGGTGATATCTTACTGGGTTTTTTTTGTTTGTTTGTTTGTTTTTATAGTTCTGTATTACTTGTACCCTTACACTGTTTTGGTTTTTTCTGTTTTTTTTTTTCTTTCCTTTTAAATAAAAAATAAATAAAAAAAAATAAAAAAAGAACTTAGAACCACGACTGCCTGAGGCCGCCCTCGCCTACAATGTGTCAGTGTCAGGCAGTTTCTAAAAGGTATTGGCTGTGGCTCAGCAAACAACTCAGCGCCCCTGGATGCTAGGACAATGCTGACGATAACAAAAGATGGAACTGAGATCTTTAAGCAAGTGGGAATCAATCAATCTGCAGTAAATCCATAAAACGTGACTAACTTGTGTGCCCTGGTTCATTAGTTTCTACAGTCATTTCCCTCCACGCATTTAACAACTTCGATTCAAACTTGCATTTCTCTGGGTTCCTCGGTGTTTACCGAATCCTGACAAATGTATTTGCTCCTTTAAACAACAGCTGAGAAATAGAACTTCAGCACGAAAATGCATACTAAAAGGAACTGCGACCTGAATACTGATGGCATAAAATGAATGCGGGCAAACCACACCAGGCTGCAGACCACAGAGGCTGAATCTGAAACAGCAATAAGCCAAGGAGTATCACACTTTACAGGAAGTGTTTATCTGCAGCCTCCTGCTGCAGGCACACTTACCCATCTTTCGCTGTACCCACACAAACTGGGGGAAACAGAAGGCAATTTATATCATTCATCCCACTTTCCTAAGGTTGGAACTCTTTATCTCAAACTAAAAACCACAGAGGGGTCCAGAATTTCAGACTGATTCATGGAAAGGACCAGAGGTCAGTGCCATGGCTATAAGGTTGATTCTGTGGAACGAACAGAATCCGGGTCCTTCTGAGGACACTCACAAAAGTATCAGCCAGCTTCAGCACAGTAATGATGTGGAAACCCCGACTGCTCATGAAGACAGCATAGCTCAGTTCTGGAAAGAGAAGTGCATCCCAAAAATGTCTCCAAAGGTATTTTCCGTTTTAAGAATATCTCTATTATGAAACTGTATGACCTACAAAAATATGCTGCTGCCAAAAATAACCTCCAACAAAAAATTAAAATTTTAGAGAAAAAGCAATGTAGACTAGAGATCTGCCTTCTGTATTATCAACTAGCGACTATAGAATACACTGTTATCTTTATAATCCACACAAATCCCATCACACTATTTATTTTTCTCTAGGTTTATACAGGTGAACTAAAAATCTGAAACAGTAGTGCCAGTAACAGAAAAAGGCCGAGGATAAATCCCAAATCAAAAAACTAGGCATGCTTAACTCTGCAGGCATATGGTTTTACTGGAGGAAACAGGCCCCAGAGACACCAGA